CACTGATTTTTGAACTGTGGACAAAATCCAGTGAGGACATGTGTGCATGTGACTGATGGAAATCAAACCTCTGAAGTGCAGATTATTTTAATTATAGCTGGAAGAGCATGTAGGGTGCAAGTTTCAGCCAGAGAGTTTCCATTTTCATCTTTAATTGTGTGGCGATGAAAATACTCCCGAGTGCCTCTGCCTAGCCGAAAGAGCTACAAATTGTCTTTTCTATGGCAGGGATTTACTGACCCTAAGAACAAAATCTCAGTATACACAAGGAGAAATTATATACATATCTGTGTGAAATAAGGCATCACCAGCTTTCGCACTGCACTCTCTCCACATGCCTTTCACTGCAAGGTACCTGCTGAAGGGAGAGGTTTAGTGAACTATGCTATTGGGTTTTTTTTTTCCCCCACCACAGCCCAGTTTTCTTTGAAAGAGGACCTAACTTCTAGTAGCTTTTAAGATGTGCGTGTGAACTTGCAAAACACATCTGACAAAGTCTAGCAAGCGATCCCCCAAACTCTGGCAGATGCAAACTATATCACGTATTGGCTTTACCCTTTCCACAATTACCGTGAACACCAAGACGAGAATACAACGTGCGTTAGTAACTAGATCACACATTTGTTCCCACAACGTATTAATTTTATTTTATCTGTTGACCTATATTAGTGAAATGATGCAAGGATTAAGGCATAAACATCTTCAGTGGAAAGTGCTATTTTAACATCTGATGCATTTTGACAGTTTCAAGTGCAGTAAGGTGAAGGTCCTCCAACCTCCAACCCTAACATGGTGTTTGACTGCCTCTCTTTCTACTCTAAGTCTTTTTAATCCATATATAGTATTAAAACCACAGGGAAAGCCATACCTTTAAACTTCATATAATTGCTAGTTATTTTATACACATAAAAACCTGAACTACACAAAACTCTTCATGTACCTGTTTGCATAGCTGTATTTGAAAGAAGTTTTGTATTCTTTTGTGTTCTTTAATCTATTGTTTAGAGAAACTGTGTTTCATTTCACAGTTAAAAGGATTTAATTACTTGAATTGTGGAGACATGAAAGGCAAGAGAAGGAAAGAAAACATCTCTCTCATTTTAAACTCTTCTTCCGCAAGTTGATTTGATAGTATACCACAAAAGTACAGAAAACTGTAATCTACTTCTGAGCATTTGAAACTTCACGTCTTTTTACCTCTCTCAAGAGATATTACTCAGATTTAGTGTGACATTTTGAAATGTCACCATCCCTGTCTCAAAACCAGAAGTTTTAACACAGAATAGACACCTACGTGCTTTAATTCAGAAATCCATTCTACATGTGATGTGATATTCTAAGAGCCTCTGTGCATACCCTTTCTCATCCTAAGGAAAGAGAAAAAAAAAAATCACTTCAGGAATCTCTTTCCTATCCAAATAAACAGGGACTGCAAAAATAAATGGCTAAAGTCACTTTCTAAAAGCCTTATTACTCCAATACAGCCACAAATTTTCAATCAAAAATATTTGGGGGTGGGGGAAATACCTTCCCCTGAAAAACACTTTTGCCATGTCAAGAAAATAACATTATTTTCTCAGTAAAGGCAGAATGATTTTGTTTTTGCTGGAAGGCTGAAGTTGAAAAAAGTGGTAGTACTTGCCAGAGATCCACTCAAACTTCACATTTCATCCATTTGCAGCACCAGAACAACAGCACCTGTGGGTGCCCTCATGATCACTAACGTAGTTCACTTTCTGGCATAATTTGATAATCATCAATATTAATATTAGATTTACACAAGTATGTAATCAGTTTTAACATCTACATATGGTAGCGCATGAATAAATACATTGTACAAGCTACTGCTACATTTGCAAGCAAACCAACATCTAGATTCTTTGGAGAGTTTAAAATCAATACATGTAAAAACATGTAAAAACATTCAATTTGGAAAGTACCTATGAAAGGGATTAATCTATCCTTTTCTTGTGCAGTCCCTTGATTTGGTAAATATCACTGTCAAGCTGAGAAACTTGCTTGAAACATTCTCTAAAGTCAATGGTAATTTTTTATTCCTAGAAGTCTTCTAAGGCTGTGCAAATACACTTGTACAGCCAAGATGCAGATTTCCCTAAATATCAAAACTGAAAAAACACCAACTATCATTAGTACCATAAACAAGGAGTTGTCACTCAGACATCATTCACAATATAAGGAAATATAAAAAGCTCATAACTATTATGCAGGATATAAATAATACTGGAAGTGATGATCAAGAGTCTTCATCAGCCGATAGGTATCTGGCTGTCAGAGCAAGACACACAGGAACACAAAACTGAAAGGACTTTCCCAGTCACTGAGTCCAGCGACTGCTATCGCAGGCAACCAGCTCATCCCTTCTCCTGACTTAACCTTCGTATTGGCCTGCTCCACAGCTCTCAAAACTCTTAGTGGAGAAGCAACTGGGTTTGAAGTAACTCAACAGTTTCCCTTTCCACAAGTTTATTAATGGCTAGTTCATACTGCGTGCCTGATCTGTTCTTCGCACTCCTGCGAGATTTCCCAATCACACCGATAACGCATACCCAGCAGTATTTGCATTTCGTCCACTAAGGCAGCACAGTCCCTGTACCAGCCCGAATCTCTCCTTTCCACACAGGGGCTTTCAGAGATATTCCACGTGAGAACCACTGCCTCTGCAGGCAAACAATTCCTCCCCCTTTTCTGAATTTTCTGTACCTCACGGGAACCCAGGATTACACCTGCTTTAGCAGCATAACACACCATTGTACCAGCTCTACTCATTTCCCAGTAGAAATCCTTCTCCTTAGTCCGTATGCCCACTCTGTATATTCAGCATCTTTTCCCACTCTCCATACCAAGCCTCCAAGTTCATGTTCTTCCCAGTAGTGGCAATGTCATCTGACTTTTTACCAGTACAAATTTATTTTATTTAGGATGCTGCTCCTCCCCTGCCCCTGCAAAGAATTAATGGAAATTAATTTAAAATTAAAATAACCAATTTCTAGTACTTAATGAAAAAGCATCACCTTGTGTGCTGACTGACAGTGGGCCGAGTGACAGGCAGTGCTGTCAAAGAAATCATTGGAAAATTCACTCTTTCTTCACTGAACATTCAAAAATGGAGGTAGCCATTGCCAAACAACATGAAATACAGTAAAGACAGCAACAAGCTCTGTATTTTGCTCTATTTTAAACTATGATATATCTTGCTCACGAGATACACTTAAATTATAAACGTAGAGGACTGTGTGTGCATGTATTTGGCACTTTTCCTTATTATTGAAATTAATTTAGTGAGCACTATGTTACATTCTGACCAACTTAGACCAAATCTGCTTTTTCCAGAAGCTACAGCATTTCAAAGTGAAGAAAAGTATTAATTTAATTAAGCCACAGAGCACCTTTTGTTGCTATTGTTATTCACACACTAAGTCAAAGAAACTACAAAAATGTTATTTAAATCAGGGAAAGCAAAGACGCCACTTCATGTTTGTGATGATGTGCTTTTGTTTAGACACATCACCCAAACAGGTCTTTAAGAAGTTCCTACTTAGTAAGTATTAATTAAATGTTTTTGTCAATCCATGACAAAGATCCTTATTTAGCTGGAAATAAAGACAGACTCAAACTTTGTTTTATTTTTTTAATAAAGCTTAAATAGTTAAAGTAAGAGGAAGGAGTATGTTTTAAAGCCAAGCTATTTCTTTGTTCCATGCTAGGCCTTAAAAGTTGGATTTATTAGCAAATATGGGCCATGAGAAGAGAGCTACATAATTAAAATGCTGGCATAGAATATATTAAAATAGCCAGTGACTTACTCCAGCTTACCTTAAAACAAAGGAAACACTATCTTTACAGTTTTTTAAATGTACTGCCTCTTACTCGATTAATGGAAAAATTATCCCTACAAAATACCTTTCAAAATACCTTTTTTTTTTTTATTAAACATGAAGACTACAAAAGATTTGCTTTATCCATTGGCAGGACTTTGAAATTCTCCAGAATATTTAGATGTGTCTGCCTAAGAAAGTTTATAAATGTCAATCCAACACTGTAACAAGAATTCCGAACAGAACTGGAAATTAGAATAACTCAACCAAATCATCCCACTATAAGAATATTGTATTTCAGTTCTGCATAAACACAGATCAGCATGGTTTGTTTTGTTTTAAAAATTCTTCATGACCCACAGAATACAGCATAGGTTTACTTCACTCTTACCTTTTCCCTTCCATTTCCTTAATGCTGTTTCCTCATTTACATGTAAAACACTATCTAATTTGTCTACTGACTTTTTCTGCCCTAAGGGCTTTTTTTAGCCCCAATTCTACCCTCACCCAAGGAGATCCTTTCCTTCTTGCTTCTGAAAGAGGTTTTTGTTTGTTTGATTGATTGATTTTAATTTTCTTCTTTTTCAGATACAGGTAAGTACCCTACCATAAAGGGAGCATGGAAATGAGTGGGAACAGCACAGTGAGTTACTGGGACATTTGCAAGCCAAGACTTTGAGTAGGAACTTCAACAGCTACTATTTTTGAAAGAAAAATGTCATGCTTTCTTTATATTTGATAATATTTGACATATTTGATAATATGTCTACTATGAACATTGTCTTGTGCCACAGCCAGCCACAAACTGCAGACAAAGGAATAGAGCACACAGTTGGATGAATTCAGCGTAACACACAAAAATGGGAGAGTCCTAGTAGCAGCTGCAATGGTAACAAACATTTAGAAACCAAAGCAATCCAATAACCTAAAAATACATCTGCTAAACTAAGGAAAAAATCTGTGCAATGAGATTAGAAGCTTCCAAATTTCAGACCAATTGCTCAGGGACCACAGTCGAAAACTAAACTCAGATGTAAGGAAGTATTAGCTTGGAAAAGCCTCAGCTCTCCAAAATTCAAAATTATTAAAAAGCAATACATCTGTTCATCATTCTACAATTCAACTGTTTTCTAGTCTATAAGAATAAACAGCAGGATACAATCGTTTGCAACATCCGTTTACTTTTTTTTTTTAACTTTTTAAACTAAATTAAGAAAATATTCTTACAGAAAAAAAAAATTAGATGAGCACAAAGAAATGCCATGACAAATCCTGAGACAAATTATCCTACATCATTGCTAGTCTATGAAAACTGGTTTGAATAATGAACATGCTGGAGTATTCAGTGACAGCATACAAATCAAAAGTATTTGTAAATTATTAAGTTGTGCATGTTTTTAAATGACAAAACATGCTCACGGGTTTACTTTAAAATCTCTCACTGCTTGTTATCAAAGTTAAAAGATCATTTGCATACCAATACACATACTGTAAACATGAACTTCTCATTAAGGAAAGATGGGTTTACAGTAATTTGATCTTTTACAAAAAGCTATTGGTAACTGAATCTCTCAGTGTCTAACTTTCTAGAAAATTAAACCAATGTTTCCACTCTCAAAGTTGAAACACTACCGCTTTAGGAAATAGCCCTGTTTATTTGTTAATCAGAAATACAATCAGGTGGCATATTTCCATTTGCTGTTCAGCCGACAGTTTCAGCTTCATTATATTTTACAAGAAAACAGCACACTTGCAGAGGTCCTGTAAATTCTTTCATATCGCAACTGATTTAATTACAGCGGTGAAGAAAAGCAGTGGTGATGCAAAATAAGATCAGCCCAATTGCCCTTATCTGATGATAGGATCTCTCTTCCTGTTTGGCTTGCAGCAGTGAGGACTTCTTGTTTTGTTTTGGGTTTTTGTTAATTTTTTTTTCTGGTCAGGCTGCCTCTGTCACGACTGACAGAAGCAAGAAGTTGACATGCCCTTATGGTTCCAGCTTGAGAATGATCCTCATACCAATATAGCTGAGTTTCAATCAGTAGGTCGGGGAATGATACTAATGTGGAGAAAATTATCTGGATAGCTCATATGTTCGCTTAGCCACTGTATGGGTGTTTCCAGCATTGGCTCAATTCCATGAATCATCACTTGAGTCTTCTGTTCTCCATCTAATTCAAAGAAAAAGAGAAACCACTAGTATACCATTCAAAGCTCACAGAAAGATTAAACATTTACATATACTTAATTTACAGTAGATTTAATTGGTGTAACAGAGCTTAACATTTAACAGAACAAAAAGCAGGAAATGTTGGTATGGAGAAAGCTGAGATTTCTATCACCTAAAACAGAAACCTGGAGTTAAAATTAATTCCAAGAAAAAATTGGGTTAAAATGAAACTTAATGAAAGTGCCACTCTTCTTTATTAGTTGCAAGTTATTTTTCCTACAGTGATCACAGCTTGGTGTCAACACAGTTAAGGCACATCCATCTCACCCGGCTATGAGCCATATGAATTTTAGACAGATCATGCTTAAGATGTTGAGCTTCCTAAAACATACTAATGAAGTTGTATTCTTAATACTGTGATCTCCTGAAAGAGCTGGACTATGTCACACATAAATACGTGTAACATCCCTGAAGTAATTTTGTTTTGCTAAGAATAATTTACTTAAGTCTCAAGCAATATTTCAGAGTTACTCAGAAGGCTGAGTTGGCATCAGTTTTTTCTCACTTAGTTTCATCTCTTGGAAAAGCTAAGTTTGCAAATGATTCCCAGTATGACAAGAATATTTTCTAAGAATATTTCAATTCTTTTTATTTATACTTGTCCCGGAGGATGCAAGTACTTTGATCCTTTGATTCAAATGATGGGAACCAGCTAAAGCAACTGACATAACTGTCACAAAATGAACTAAAAAAAAAAACAAAAAAAGAAAATTTATTTCAGAGCCTTGAGATGAGAAAAGCATCTGAAATATGCTCCAAATAATGGTTAGGGGAAAAAAAAAAAGCAGGCAGTGACCTTCTACTGTTTTTATACCATATTCTGGCATTCTCACATGGACCTACCACAGTGAGATCCACATTCAGTGCTCAAAAATATTACTGCCTTCTCTAATTGGCATATTATGCCCCCCTCAACTTGTCTATATTAGAGAAGAAACCACCGTGCTGCCCAAGAGTTGCATGGAAGAGAACAGAACCTGGAAGTGAAGGTACCATTACTGGCTCTTTTATTCAGCTCCCCTAGTTGTAACATAATTCCTGTTTTATAGCAAAGACAAAATCTTACTTGTTTGGTAACCAAAATTATTTGACAGCTACCTGAAAAAGTTTGTATTATAGCTTGGTATCTATGCCAGCACAGGCTAAATTAGACTAGGAAGAATCATCCTTGAATATGCTGTTGACTTCATGCTAGTAATAATTCTTCCTGCAGAAGCAGACAGTTATGTTTGCCTAAAATAGAGCATCATACATTAGTTACGTTACCTACATATGGTATCATATTCTGTACAAATTCTTGATCAAATATATAAAGCTTGATTCTCTAAATGGCATAGTATACACATTATCACACTAAATTAAGCATAAACAATTGCTGGTTTCTGGGTTTATTGCAGACAGGTCAGAAGAATGCAGCATGTCATTTAAAAATAAACTTCTGGTATTTCCAGCCAAAGCAGGTATTTATTTTAACATTACCAGTCAAATTGTCAAAAGTATAAAATCTAAAAGAAAAGATCTCAGAAACCAAGTTTTTACACTGAGAAATTAGGGAACATCTAAATATTTTTAATATTAAATTAACTCCCAATTATATGTATTTAACACTTTCAAATTGAAATCTACCTATGGTACTCCTTAAATTTGCCACAGAGTTAGTGACATTTCTTTATATTTCCTAATATTACTTAATTTTCAGAAATAACTAATTTGCATAGACAGATGGCAGAATGCTGTTTTGGCATTAGTACTGTGCTAGCCACCAATATACAGCTGACTTCTTAGCAAAACCTTGCACAAAAAATAGATTAAAATCTTTAGAACCTCAGTATCATTTTCTTGTCATTGGAGGAAAAGCTTATAAATGATAAACGCTTTCTTTGGCTCCTTTACTGTGTGACAGAATATTTTTGGATGTGTATGCACGTGTGTACTAACTTGATGTTTCTTGCTTAAAAATGCAATGCAGTTAATCTGGGTGTCCCCATTCCCTGCTCCCTACCCAACTTTGTCCCTTTCTCATACAAATCTTTTATTCTGTTCCTCAGCAAACTGAGAAAGTCTCCAAGGTCAATGAAGAATTTACAGTTTAATTAAAGTCTAAATCTCTGCATTAGCATTGTTTGTGCTTTAGTATTATCTCTGACAAAGCATCACTACTTCTTAATTCGTTTTCTCCTTGAGGCTTGACTAAAGAGATCTTATCTACCAATTCTGTATTTACTGTAGCCTTCTTCACAAAATCCATTGTTTTTACTTTAGCATTCTTCCCTCTTTTTGTTACTAGGGACCATAAACTCTCACTTAAGTCACATTTTCCCAAACTTTCCTCAACTTTGATGTTTTCACCAACTTCCCCATTTTGAATCATGTACAGAGTCTCTCTCCTATAGATGGCTCCTCTGCTAGCAAAAGTTGTCAACAGCAAATACACTAAAAAAAAAAAAATTACTGGAAAGTATTCTTGTTTTCTCAACAGCCATCTAATTTGTATCCACCATTACCACTGTGATCTGGGTTCTGGATGATTTGCTAGCTATCACGAAAGCTTCACCCACCTGGTTCATAGATAGAATAGATTTACATAATATTTTTCCTCCATTACTGCTCATAGTCTTAAAGAGTTGTAGCTTATTTTGTATGCATCTTGACACAGCAAGTATTGTCCTCTTCTTTCCCATCCCATATTCTATGACAACAAAAAGTCTTTTTAGACTGACAAAATGCCTCTATAAAAGTGTACAAGTTGAGAAACACAACATATATTTAAATGAGTGGTGTAAGATTTAAATTACTTAATTACAAAGAATATTAAAGCCATGTCACTGGACCAGGCCCATAACAATTAGGGCAAATAACTCTGCTCATCTGTAGTGCACAGGGTCCAGACTTGATACTATCATTACTGTCAATACCCATTTTACAATATGCAGTAATGTAGCAAAAACCCCTAGGATTTCCTCAAAACCAAGAATTTTCCAGTCACCTCACTGACTTTTTTTTTCCTTTACACGTTAGGTATTATGTGACCTAAAGATGGTTTCTTTTACTTTGTTGCAAGTTATCTCAGGAAGACAAAGAAGTACAAATACCAGAAAAATAAAAGCATAGCAGTACATGTTTTGTAGGAAGTTTTTATAATGTGTGTACATAGTAACTATTTACTTAAAATCAGAGTATTTTTATATTACTGAAGTGATGCACAAAAAATAAATACTGTTTGGGCATTTACAAAATAAAAAAAAAAAGCCTCAAAACCAATTAAGTCATCTCCTTCCAGAGGGGTTGTCCCAGGATTAAATGATTTTTCTTTGCTTTCCTTGTGGAAATCCAGGAATCCAGAAGGCACTATAGCCCCTGAAAGTCACTAGCGGCAAATGATAAGCACAGATCATAAAGCTTTTTGGTAAAACTTAACAATATTCCTTCTCCAGAAGGCAGATAACTATGCTTACATGTTGGGTACTAAGACATTTCTGAGACATTTCAAATAATTTAGACACTAACTCAAAGGCTGCAACACTTAAAGTAGCTACCTGACCCAGCCTAATAAATCATACCACGTCATCAGAAGTTTTCCAACTCTGTACAGAAAATGGAAACAGGCAGCTCTGAAGTGAAGGGTTTAAGAAGAGGTCTGCTCCTCTATCATCTATAAGTTGAATCAGTGTTTCTGATCAGGAAACCACCTTGATGCAGCCAAAGAAAGTATTGGCAAAGGACTCTCTTTTGCAGGCAGGCATCTGCTGGAAGGAAGCAAGAGATGGTGGCTATTGCATCTCAACAGAGTCCTTGAGGTAGTGGCTCAAGGCCCTCCTCCACCTGAGGCACTCTCCCTTCTTTAAGGAGAATGCCCTAACTACAGTATTTGCTGTTGCTAATCCTAAGCTTCCTCTAAAAACCCTCAATGTTCAAGAATCAGAGAGAGAGAGAAAAAGAATGAAGAGAAAATCTGTAGTCTTCACAGAAAGTAGGAAGATGTGCGATGTCAAAGTAGCACATGGTAAGTTTTTCTCTTTCCTTTAGCTATATAAGTTATTGCTTGCAAAGTAAACCACTCCAAATTAGGAAACAAAATAATTTAATCAGCTTATTCAGCATCAATTCAGATTGTTACACATACCCTTGATGCAATCTAAATACATTTTTTCTACTGAATTATCTTTTTATTTAGAAAGGAAGAATTAAAGATGGAGGGAAAAGAAAAGATTGCTTTGGTGATAGATTCAAGTGCCTAAGAGCAGAATAGTGAGAAGGCACTACTTCTGGCAAAGGTACGTATGTCAGCCATTTTTCACTCAGATTAGCACCACAATGCTCACCAGTGCTGCAGCTAGAAACTCCCTTTCACCTACGCAAGATCAGTTTTCCTAGCCAGACTACATCTGTGATGCACCACTTAAAATTCTTTAGTGGGATGAAATACCTCCGTTCTGATTTGTGGCCTCTAGCACTCACCTGTCAAGGCAATTTAGCTGGCTTAAATTCTTTCACTGATAGACAATACAAGATATTCAGGATTTAGCAAAAATGTCCCTGGAGTACTTCAGTTAGAATCCTCTGTATGCATGTCCTTTGCATAGCAAGTCTCAGAACTTGCTTGTAGCCATCAAAATGGATAATGCAGAAAGCACAGCTTCTTACTCAGGGCAATACCACTTAGAAAATTGGTTTTAAAACCCTAAAAAAAGGCAATAGAACCCTGTGCTCCAAACTAGGAACAAATAATGCACTTTTTACATGATACAAGGCCACAGGACTGTGTTGGGCAAGGATACTAAAAAGCGTGACATAAATATAACCAAGGAAAGTGTCATGCAGTAGCAGCCTTATGAATAATGTAACAGAATGAGTTTCCAGCTTTTTCAGCTGTGAAGTGGGCCATAAACATTTGCTTGCTTATCTCCAGAATACATCATATGTTCTGGATTAGATGATACT